TAGATGAATTATGTATATTAATTTTTAAATTGAAATAGTAATATTTATAACTTTTTATCAAAAAATTGTATTTACTAAAATATATATTTAACAATGTTAATTTCTATATTCAAAGAATTGATTGGATATATTAATTAATTTAAAACTAAAATATATATTATCCACATGAATAAAATATTTAATCCAATGATTAATTTTTAAAAATATTAATTAAAATATAACATTTTTGAAATATTCTCTAAAAAAAAATCGTGCATAACACTCTTTCCTTCAGAAGAACCCATGAACCAATATTTGCTTTTATAGGTATTAACCTTGTAAATTTTTTAAATTTAAAATAAGAATTTTTTGTTTTACAATTTAAATCACATCAAATTCTAAAATATAAATTATTAAATAAAGAAAGTTTTTATTATTAAAAAATTTATTTTTATTTAATCATTAAAATTATATAATTTAAAATAATTTAAAATAAATAATATTTTTTTATTAAAATAATATACGTAAATATTTCTCTGATGCGACTGAATTAGCGTCTATAAACCATGTCATTTATAGGCAAACAAATTTTAACCCAAAAAGTGAGAGATGTTGTCCATTAAAATAGCTAAAAAATTTAATAGGACTGTTAGAATATCAATATTTATTTTAAAATATTATATTTACATTATAATTGATTATATATATTTAAACTAATTGATTTTATACTTAAGAATATTGTGTTATACAAATCTATATATATAAGATCTTTGTGTATACAATGAAAATAAGAAAGCATTAATCTTTCTTCAAATTATTCTTCTTTTCTATTTCTAATATGGTATTAAAGCTATAAACTCCTGGTTCTTATCTTTTATAATCGTTATTTGGTTTTTTGAGTTGAATTTTCAAATCCATTCTAGATCTAAAACTTTGTTGTTAGGATCTCTTCTCCTATAGATTGGATTGTTTATTCTCAATTCTCAAGCCTTTTTTGAGGTATTTTGTTGAGTTGTTATTTCGATCTTAGCACCTATTTCTTCATATTTTTTAGAGATTTTTTTTGCAGTATTGTGAGTTTTACTGATTCTATGGCAAGTTTTGAAAGGAATGTAATTTATCCTACTATTGCTATGGTTGCCAAAGAGACAATAGACCAACTTAATGTCAACCTTGAATCTCTAAAACAAGTGATATTAAATCTTTTTAATGCTTCTATTGCTTTATTTGCTGCTTCAAATACCAAACTTGATATTTTTATTCTGGTAATTGTAACCATATGCCTTCAACTACTACTCATTTCTTTATAATGTCACTGAATAATTCCTTTCATGATATTTGTTCTGCTGATGGTTCTCCTATGAATGTTAGTCACATTGACAATATTTCTACAAAATCACTGACCTTACCAAATGCTCTCTTAGTTCCAAAACTTAGTAATAATCTTCTATTTGTTGGTCAATTATGTGATATTGACCTTGAAGTAACATTTTTTGCTCATGGTTGTCATGTACAGGACCCACAAATAGGTCAACTTCTTAGAATTGGTCACAAGGTGGAGCATATGTTTAAGCTCAATTATTTGCATATTCCACATCATAAAATGGATATGTCATCATTTCCAAATGGTCGCTTCATCCAAACCTTACTCTATGCTGTTGAATTAGAGTCTTTACAAATTCCATACCAACAAATTTTGCAAGCTTGTGTTGTTACTAACATTTCTCCTCTCCAGTTGTGGCATTCACAACTTAGATATACCTCAATCGGTAAACTTTGTCCACTTATTTCTCATGATTTATTAGGATTTGTTCCAAATGAATCCTTGCATTGTGTGTCATGTTAATCTACAAGGCAACCGGCTTTATCATTTTCGAGTAGTCATTCTTTTTCTATTGCTCCTTTTGATCTTGTGCACTTTGATGTTTAGGGTCCATCTCCTACACCCACCATAGGGGGTTCCAGGTACTTTGTGTTATTTATTGATAATCAAACTCATTTTACCTAGATATATCTTACAAAAAATTGTTCTAAATCATTACAAATTTATATTGATTTCGCTACCATGATCAAAACTTAGTTATCTAAAATTATTAAAGTTTTGAGAACTGATAATGCTACTGAATATCTTAGTATTAAATTTCAATTCTTTCTCAAAGACTAAGGTACACTGACACAATAATCTTGTCCTTACACTTTTGAATAGAAGGGCAAGCCAAACGTAAATACAGACACATCCTTGATTTTGTTCGTGCTTTGCTCATTTTTTCTTTTTGTCCAGAGCGTTTTTGGGGTGATGCTGCTTTTATGGCTATTTATCTCATTAATCGCATTCCATCTTTAGTCATTAATAATTGATCTCCATACGAGCGTTTACATGGTATTTTTCCTGCCTATGATCTTCTTAAGGATTTTAGTTGAGCATGTTTTGTTATTCTTTCACCTCGTAAACATAACAAGTTAGAGCTTAGACCTTGATTATGCTGTTTTTTGGGTTATGGGATTACACAAAAAGGACATCGTTGTTGGGATCCTGTGTCATAAAAACTCTAAGTTTCACGTCGTGTTGTCTTTTGGGAACACATTATATTCTCATTGTTGTCAAACTTCAAAGTGTCATCCTTTCATCAACCTCTATTTTTAACTAATCCTTTTGTTAAGCTATTTTCCAGTGATTCTAATGTAAGTACATCTAATGAGTTCTACAATGCGTCATCACATGCTCCAACTAGTTCTGCAGAAGATGATCTGCTTGTTGGTAATTCATTAGATAATTTTGAGCCTTCCTCTACTTCCTCATCTGTATCACCTATTGATATTGCATCTAATATTGTTGAGTCTGCAAATGAGCTTATTGTCCCATCCTTAAGTCATCATACTTGGGTAAGAAACCCTCCCAGCTACCTTCGTGATTATCATTGTTTTCCTGCTATTACTTCTTTACACAAGCCTCAATCTTATCGAGAGGCCTCTTCTAACCCTCTTTGGCAACAAGCTAGGCAAGATTAATTACAGGCTCTTAAGAATACTCGTACATGGATTTGGTTGATCTTTCTACTCAAAAGTCTTTGATAGGCTGTAAATGAGTGTACAAGATCAAAGTGTGATCTAATGGTTTTGTGGAGCATTATAAGGCACACTTGGTTGCTAAGGGTTTTACACAGGAGTATGGAATAGATTATGAGAAAACATTAGCTCCAATTGCTTGTCTCACATCTATGTGCAGTTTGGTTACTATCGTTGCTATACGAAGATGGAAATTGTTTCATATGGATGTGAAAAAAGTGTTTTTTAATGGTGACCTAAAAGAAGAAGTTTATATGAAACCACCTCTTGGGCTCAACCATCCTCCAAACAAAGTATGCCAATTGTGATGTGCATTATATAGCTAGAAGCAATATCCTCGAGCTTGATATGCAAAGTTTAGTGCTACTGTGAGTGAGTTTGGTTTTACTTCGAGTTCACATGATACAACTTTATTCATTCATAAGACTACCCATGGTATGGTTCTTTTACTTCTTTATGTTGATGACATGATTATTACTGGAGATGATATCATAGGTGTTGAGGAGCTAAAATAATCTCTCAATAAAAAATTTGAGATGAAAGATCTTGGTGTTCTAACATATGTTCTAAGGCTTGAAGTCACCTTTTCAGATGATGGCTACCTACTTTCTCAAGTAAAGTATGCCTCTAATCTTGTTTCTAAAGTTGGACTCAATGATAACAAGAGTGTTTCTACACCTCTTGAACCTAATGTCAAGCTTACACTTATGGATGGCTCTCCACTTTTTGATCTTACTCGCTATCGGCAATTGGTTGATAGTTTGGTTTATCTTACCACAACATGCCCTAACATAGCATTTGCAGTTCACATTATTAGTCAATTTATGGTTGCTTCTTGCTCCACTCATTATGTAGCAGTACTTCGCATTATTTACTATGTTAAGAGAACATTGTTTCATGGACTTCATTTTTCTACTAACTCATCCTCTATGCTTCATGCTTACTCTGATACTGATTGGGTTGGTGATCCTTCTGATCATAGATCTATCACTGATTATTGTCTTTTCCTTGGTAATTCTCTTATATCTTAGTGGAGTAAGAAATAAACTATTCTATCTCACTCTAGTACTGAAACTGAGTATAGAGTTCTTGGTGATACCACATCAAAACTTTTTTCATTACGGTGGCTTCTTGAAGATATGGGCATTCATCAGCCTTCTTCTATTGATTTATATTGTGATAATCAAAGTACTATATAAATTACTCACAATAATGTCTTCCATAAACACATAAAGCATATTGAGGTTGATTGTCACTCTATTTATCATCATGTTGCAAAGGGAATTGTTCGTTTGACTTTCATTAGTTCTATTGATTGGTCTATTGATTTGTTTACCAAGGCTCACTTCCTTGAATGCTTCCGAATGCTTCCAAACTTTTCTTTCCAAATTCAAGTTGATTTCCTTATCACTACCTTGAGCAAGGATGTTAGAATATCGATATTAATTTTAAAATATAATATTCATATTATAATTGATTACATATATTTAAATTAATTAATTTTATATTTAAAAATATTCTATCATGTAATTTTATACTTAAAAATATTTTATTACATAGATCTATATATGAAAAACTTTTATACATATAATGAAAACAAAAAATCAATAAATTTTTTTCGAAATTCTTCTTTTTCTTTTTTGTTACTAAAGGGATTAATAATGTTTTTTATTTTAAAAAATTATTACGGAGTACAAACATGTCTTTGTCAAGACAGCTTGCAGATGCAAGTCCTGGTTCCAGCTGCACGGTGATCGAGGTGCATGACGGAACCCAACAACATCACGTTTCTAAGCACAGACATGGTTGGGTAGTTGCTTCCAACCCATTTTCTCAATTTCTTCCCATACACGTACGCGGGCCTTTGTTTTTTGCTTTCTTTTGTGAAATCTAGGCCGTTTATTAAGTGCTTCGTCTCCTATATATACCCTATTTTCTCTTTGTTCTTCTACTGCAGTAGAAGCTCATTTTTAAGCCTCTCTCTTCTATCTCTTGATCCTCTCTCCTCTTCTATAGTTTTTAAGCTATTTTGAGACATGCAAAATGGCTTGTTTTAACACTTGCAAAGAGGTTGGTATTCAATTTGGTTCGTATGAGGGCTTTCCCTTTCATTTTTTTTTCTCTTTTATTATTTTACAAATTTATTTTTGCTTACGTTTTGATATTTATTTTTTATTTAAAAAATAGTAAATTTTTTCTTTTAATTTTTTCAAAAACATACTCTACTATATATACATTGAAATTATGATAATTTGAAATCAGTTTCTTTATTTAATTAATCTTGGTGTCGAAACCCTTTATGAGCTAGTGTTTTGTGACTCACTCATTGTCCAGCAGTTGCTTATAATTTTTACTCAATGAAAAAGGGGGTTAACAAGGGGAAACATCAAAATGTTAATTATATCAACCTAAGAAAGTTTTTTTAGTCATATAGCAGCTTAGGAGCATTATTTTTATATAATTGATAAAAGAAAATAGTTGTCTTATTTTCAATTTCTTGTCACTTTTCTAGAGATTTGAGTAGAGCTAAAATTTTTAACTAAATATATACAATAATTTATTTTATATTTTTTATAACTTAACATATGTAATGATATATATGATCATAACTTTAAAAGTATGATACATGTTATTAAATTAGTATATATATAATGTTATTGATAAATTTTAAATAAATAATTTATTATATTATGATAAGTTATAATTGTTAATTTACAACATCATAATTACATCATTCTTTATTTATATATATATATATATATGCTTGTTAGCTAGATAGGTCTGTAATTTTTTTTTAAAACATCGGAGGTAGAATTCGAACCCCACGCTGCAAAACTTAGTATGATATCATAATTACATTATTCTCTCTTTTGTTTATATATATATATATATATACACTTAGTAGCCAAATAGGTCTGTCTTTTTTTTTTTTTTTTAATATTGGAAGCGAGACTTAAACCCCATATTACTAAACTTAGCATAAGAAATCTTTAATAAGAAAAAGGTGACCATTAAGTAACTGAAACATTCTCACTAGATAGGTCTGGAATAGTTGATTAGTTACTTTAGATTTGTATGACAATCAAACAATAATTTGTAATAATAAATTACACAATAAAAAGTAATGCTTTTTACTTGTAAAATTTAAATTCAAGTCATAAAATATAGAATTTAAAATCTCAAAATTCTTATTAGTGGAGATATCTTTTAATTAAAAACGGCAAGCATAAGCTCCGACAAAATCAGAAGGTTTACCATTAAAATTAATCAAACTTTAGTCATTAAAATGAATGAGTTAACCTTGTTATACCCCACCCAAATTAACCCGAAGTGATCATTGGATATTTTCAAATTTGATTGGCTTATTCATCTGATGTTGTCTTTTGATTTGATTTTAGGTTAAGCTAGACGATCAGAAGATGAAAAAAGAGCCAGAGGTATACACTTTAGATGGATCCGTAGATCAACTCGGCAATCCTGCCGTCCGAGAGAAAACTGGAACTTGGGTTGCTGGAATTCTATTACTAGGTACACAATCAACTCTCTCCAAGCACCTCTCATCTTCCCCTTTTCAGAAAATTCCACACCTTCACTCAACACTAATTAAATTGTTCACATTACACAGTTAATACAAAATGTGGAAAATAATTTCGATTCACAAAAACTAGAGCTTGTAGACTCCAACACGTACTGTATTGTTAGCTATTGCATTAATTGCACTCAATGCCTTTTCTTCACATAATTTTCGTGTTCTTCTATACAGTAGTAGGGAATATAACAGCATAACACGCAATGTTTTTGCATTTAATGTGCGGCGTGAAATCTCATTCATCATATATTGCTTGAACGTTACAGAAAAAATGCTTTTCAATTGGTTAAAACCTCATTTTTGGTCCCTCAATTATTGTATGGACCCTCAATTTAGTCTCTCAACTCAAAAAATCTATGATTTTGTCCATACTGTTCACCATTTTAACCCCATCTTGGTCCTTCCGTTAAAAATCTGCCTACGTGTCCTGTTATTTAACAAGAAATGATGATATGTCAAACTAAGTCCATGTAAAAAGATAGCATGTCAAAAAAATTAATGACATGGCAATAAAAACTAAAAAAAAAAAATGTTTTTTTTCATCTTGTTTCCTTTCTCCTTCCTCGTCCTTGCCTTGCTTGTCCTTGCCTTCTTCATCACTCATTTTCATCTTCATCAAACAACAATACCCACAAGAAAAAAAGGAAACAAAAAATCATCTTTATTTTTTGCTGTTGGCTTTGAATTTTCATCAATCAATTCTTCTTCATCATTAAACAACAACACCCACAAAAAAAAAAAAACACACACACACACACACACACAAAATCATCTTTATTTTTTGCCCCTGGATTCAAAATAACCCAGTGTGCTGGGTTCCATCGAACCCAGGCATGCTGGGTTCAAAGGAACCAAGCAACGCCTGCTAGGTTCGATCGAACCCAGCAAGCACTGTTGGGTTTTGCTTGTTGGGTACTACTTTTGGGTTTGATGAAACCCAGGCGTTAACACTTGTTGGGTTTGATCAAACCCAGGCGCCTGCTGGGTTCAATCGAACCCAGCGAACACCGCTAGGTTCGATAGAACTTAGGCATGTTGGGTTCGATTGAACCCAACAGACGCTTGGGTTTGATCAAACCCAGCAGGCACTATTGGGCTCAATCGAACCCAAATTTGGTGTTGAGGAAGGGGGAGAGAAAATGAACACTATTGGGGGAAGAAGATGAACAACAACTAGGTTCAATTGAACCCAGATCTGGAGTTGAGGAAGGGAGAGAGAAAATGAAGGCTTCTAGGGTAAGAAGACGAACAACCACTGGCTTCTATCAAACCCAGATCTAGTGTTGGGGAAGGGAGAGAGAAAATAAACCTACTGGAGGAAGAAGATGAACCCAAGAGGCTGGAGATGAGAAGGAAGGGGTAACGAAAGGAGAAAGGAAAGAAATTGATGTGTGGTTGAAGAAGAGGGTAAAAGAGTAATTTTAATTTTATAATTAGTTTAAAATATTTTAATTTTTAATTAGAAATTACGTGTTAAAGTTTAGTTGTCCTATGTGTCAAATTATTTTTTACACGTCATCTTTTCCTTCAAATAATAGGACACGTAACTGAAAATTTAACGGAAGGATCAAGTTGGGTTAAAATGGTAAACATAAGGACCAAATCAGAGATTTTTTGAGTTGAGGGACTAAATTTGGGGTCCATACAATAGTTGAGGGACCAAATTGGGATTTTAACATTTTCAATTTAAGTGATATCACGTACGTTCTCTAAATTTTGCAATAAATTAAGTAGTTACTCCCTCTGTTGCATATTAATAGTTGTTTTAATTGATTTTACGATGATTAAGAAAATCAATTGATTACACTTAATTCTAGGGAAAAATGTATTTAAAATACAATTTTACCTTTCTAATGTGTTACCATTTATCACGGACAAATGCATTCCTTTCCTTTTCTTAATTCTCTGGTTTTTGTATTTATTACGGTCAGTAGGAAAGGTAAATTTGGAAGGAAAAAAACTAATGTTGCATAGAAATCCTAAAACGACAATTATTTAGAAACAAATTTTAATCTCTAAGACGACAAATAATAAGGAATAGAGGGCGTATTTACTAAGCTATAATTAAAGATTGAGATAAGTGTTTTTTCTTTTCTTTTCTTTTTTTTATGTATTCTATTTTTTTGTATAGTCTAGGTATTAAAATCATTAAAATATCATGGGTGAATCTCATTGGTAGTCACCCAACTTTATTAAAATCAACGTTTTGGTCACTCAACTTCTAATTCTAACAAAATGGTTACCTAACTTCTTAAGTTGTCCAACTGTTAGTCATCCATAGTTAATATTAACTAAAAATCCTAAATTGCAGTTAAGGTGGCTAAGTTGAATGCCACGGGGATCTGGCGTGGCATTACAAGCACTAAAAATGTAAAAATTGTAATATAAATCCCTAAAATTTTGGCTTTTTTTTAACTCCTTCTCTAATTTAAGTAAATATAGTGAATGAAAATGAATATTAGGAAAATTCAGAATAAATTACCAAATTAGTATGACCTATTGGCTGCGTCTATAATGTGAAACTTCTTTGGGACTAAACAGATTTCTAAAATAGAGGGAAGCTAAATTTGCTAAGCAACTCCTTTTCTAGCTTACCTAATAATAGACAAAATGAATGAAAATGGATATCGAGAAAACTCAAAATAAATTACCAAACTAGTATGATCTAGTTGGCCATTTCTGTAACATGAAACTTCTCTAAGACTAGTGTCAACAAAATTGGCACAACACAAATGATCTTTCTTACAGACATAACATTATACTTCCTGTTTGAAAATAAAAATAACAATGTTGTATAGTTATATTGATAATTTTAAAATATAATCAAAGAAACAAAAAGGTATAAGTTGAAAATAAAGAAACTAGCATGAAAAAAGATAAAATTTTAGGAATTTAGATTACAATTTTCACGTTTTTAGTGCTAATGAGTGCTTGTAATGCCAGGTCGGATGACGTGGCATTTAAGTTAGCCACCTTAACGGCAATTTAACATTTTCAGTTAATATTAACTATGGGTGACTAACGATTGGACAACTTAAGAAGTTAGGTGATCATTTTGTTAGGTTTAGAAGTTGAGTGATGAAAACGTTGATTTTAATAAAGTTAGGTGACCACCCATGAGAATCACCTAAATATCATTAGTGAATAAACATATAAGGAAGTTTTATTAAAAATATTTTTTATTAATTTTAATACTTAAATTGTATAAAAAAGTATAAGAATATTAAAAAAACATTTTGGATAAAGATTATAAAATATTGTGTAAAAAGAACCATTTAAATCTAGTCATGCATTTATGTGATTAATTAATACTATATTATTTTTGTAAATTTATAATTTATTTGAATAGTAATTGTAATATGTGAGAAAAGTAAAAATAAAAAATATTGATATTTTAAATATTAAAATTACTTATAAAATTATTTAAATATTTTTAATAAATTTTTTTATTTATTGAGAATAATTAAAATTTTTCATTTTAACGATGGGACGAACTAATTTTCAACCATCCATTTTCGATTTTTTTTTTTGTGCAAATCATTTTTCGATTTCTTTAACCATAATTTGTATATTCTTCAGTGAATCAAGGACTGGCCACGCTAGCAATCTTTGGCGTCGGAGTCAACTTGGTCCTCTTTCTGACCAGGGTTTTAGGCCAAAACAATGCGGATGCGGCCAACAATGTCAGCAAATGGACCGGAACTGTCTACATTTTCTCTCTCCTCGGAGCTTTTCTCAGTGATTCCTACTGGGGAAGATACAAGACCTGTGCCATTTTCCAAGTCATCTTCGTAGTCGTAAGTTATTTTTCCGACCATCTCTCTATAATCTCCGATCAATCTCGCCAAATTCCATTGGTAAAAATCTGAGTTTTTCTCCTTTTGGGTGGCAGGGATTGGTTTTATTATCTGTATCGACTCACGTATTTTTACTCAACCCCGCTGGATGTGGTGATGGGCAAACACCATGCGGTTCTCACTCCGCCTTCCAGACGTCGTTTTTTTACCTCTCGATATACTTAATTGCCCTCGGAAATGGAGGGTATCAACCCAACATCGCAACCTTCGGTGCAGATCAGTTCGACGAGGAAGACCCCAAAGAAGGCTATTCCAAAATTGCCTTCTTTAGCTACTTCTATTTGGCTATGAATCTTGGGTCTCTCTTCTCGAACACCATACTCGGATATTTTGAGAATCAAGGTTCGTGGACGTTGGGATTTTGGGTGTCGACGACCTCTGCTTTTTTGGCGTTGGTTTTGTTTCTTGTCGGAACTCCGAGGTACAGATATTTCACCCCCAAGGGGAATCCCCTGTCCCGATTTTGCCAAGTCTTTGTTGCTGCAATAAGAAAATGTAATGTCCAGACGACCGACATTGAGGAGGATTTGTTCGAGTTAAAAGGAAAAGAATCTAATGCAGATAGAAAGATCATCCACACCCAGGGCTTCAAGTAAGTTGGATTTTCAGATCAAATTGCTAATCTTTTTACGGTTCTTTGAAAAATTAGGTTGACCCCTTTTTTTTCCATCATTTTTCATCAGATTTTTGGATAAAGCTGCGACCTTGAGACCAAAGGATGTTGGCGGTGATGATCAAGTTGATCGAAATCCATGGCGTCTCTGTACAGTGACCCAGGTCGAAGAAGTCAAGTGCATATTGAGACTCCTTCCGATTTGGCTCTGCACAATACTCTACTCCGTTGTATTCACTCAAATGGCGTCTCTGTTCGTAGAACAAGGTGCTGCCATGAAAACTACCATCTCCGACTTCCACATCCCACCAGCGAGCATGTCCAGTTTCGACATTCTGAGCGTTGCGGCATTTATCTTCATCTACAGGCGTGCTCTCGATCCCATCGTCGCAAGGATAAAGACGACATCAAAGGGCATAACAGAGCTACAGAGGATGGGAATTGGCCTGATGATAGCAATTGCTGCGATGGTCTCTGCCGGAGCCGTGGAGCTATTCCGGATAAAATATGCAAACAAGAACTGCCCTAGCTGCAAAAACGCCAGCTCTCTGAGCATATTCTGGCAGATCCCTCAGTACGTCCTGATTGGAGCGTCAGAAGTATTCATGTACGTCGGCCAATTAGAATTCTTCAACGGACAGGCACCGGACAGGCTGAAGAGCTTCGGCAGCGCACTATGTATGACGTCTATATCGCTAGGAAACTACGTCAGTAGCTTGCTAGTGACCATCGTGATTAAGATCTCAACCAGCGACGACATGCCTGGATGGATACCCGGGAACCTCAACAGAGGACATCTTGATAGATTTTATTTCCTTTTAGCGGCACTGACGACCGCAGATCTCGTCGTCTATGTCATCTGCGCAAAATGGTATAAGTATATTAAGTTTGCAGGAAGAATGGAGGAAGAAAAACTCAATGGAAATGGAATGCAGGTCTGAGTTTTGGGGAGAAGAATTGAAGAGTGACTTATATATATTTATTTTTGCAATGAGACTGAAGAAATAAATAGCATTTTTGCTACTTAATTTCTTCATGTTGAGCACTATATAGGAATGAAGTAAATAGTTTGGAAAAGCATATCGATGTATCATATATGTCTGGTTCTCCTCGCTGGTTACTTGTTTGCTTAGTGATATTCATAATCATGTAACCCTAGTCTCTTGGACCGTCAATGGAATAATTATAATATGATCATATGGAAACAAATTTTACTACTCTTTTTTTCCCCCCCTAAATTCATAGGGTTACATGACTTATATCAAGTTGTGTAGGTAACCTAGAGTACCATTATGATTCACAATTTGAATTCAAAAAAGAATCATGTTTCATTGCAACAAAAAATTATTATATAATTTGAATTGTATTATATTATATAATAATAAATGTTAATAATTACACAATAAGTTAATTATGCTAATATCATATGATTCAAAGCGAAAAATAAACTAAACCTAGTGAAGAATTGTTTGACTATAGTGAAAATCAAGAAGAGGAGTGATGGATTTTCTAAATTTCATGTGATGCAAATCAAATTGAAAGTTCTTAATTTTACTTAAAAGAGATTATAAATGATCCACTTATTTGGCCATTAGCGGGGAGCAATCGAAATTAGATTGCCTTAACCCCGGAGGAAAACCGACGGGTGAAATTGAAAAACAGGAATGGTAACATTTTAGAGGAAACGGCAAAAAATCAGAAAGGACGAGTCGTCACGTCGCCTCGCTAATCAACGGCTTTTTATCTCTCTGGGCTCTAAAGGTTAATATATCAATATTTCACAGTTCAAAAAATATATCAATATTTCAATATCTGTGGGGTTTGGGCTTTGACTGAAGTGTTGGTCCATCTAAAGTCCACGGCTGCTTTAACGTCATTGGGCTTTTGAGTCGTTCTCGGGCTCAGGGTTATGCCTGTTTAGAATTTTTTTTTAAACGAAAGAAAATAAATACATATTAAGTAAATAGAGATTAGAAAAAGATATTTATGGAACTCAAACATACAAGTCACAGAAGTGATTTGCACTAATTTAGGGTCAAAATTATTACATTGAAGTGTGAGAATCAAAATATTCATTTAGATTGCAAAAAAGGCCCTCGCATAAATTAATTTTTGAGTAAATTACATTAGATGCTCTCCATTTTTTTACTAATTTTCATATACTCGCTCTCTCTCTCTTTCCTTTTTTATTATTATTATTTTTTTTTGGGTCCAAAATAAACTCTACTTTGTTTAGAAGATGAAAAAAATTTGTCAATCTTGTATGGAACCAGAAAGAAAAGGATCATGCCTCTAGATGTCTTTTAAATTTTATTTTACTTCATATTTTATGAATTTACGGGGGAACAGAAGGACCTAGAATTGAGAATTTAAAGCTTTTACTTAAATGTTCAATCAACCCCTCTGTAATATTATTTGCATCAAATGAACCCTCAGATTGCCGCCCACAGTAACTTCATCGTGCGTTAAAATGAGTCTTTTACCACGTAATTATAGTGTAATAATCATTTAAATCAGTGTCAAATTGAGCATGGAGCACGTCCACGACGAGCATTCAACTCTTGTGTCCCTTTCGATTTGATATTTAGTTTATGGGGTTGTGTAATCTATGTTTTAAAAGAAATTATAATTTAAGATTTATTAATTATGATATTTTAAATTAATTTTATATAAATTTTTATATTACATTTATAATTTTTTTAATAAATTTTGAGTATAAATATTATATTATATTTTTATATATCATATTATATTTTATTTAAATCTTATATAAAAATTTAAATAAAATTAAGTACATATATTACAATTAATGAGATTTAAGGCACCTGGCCCTTGAGGCCTAGTGGCAATAACCATCCCGGTGCATTCCCCTCTCCTCGGGCTGAGTTCAAAACCGACCTCTTGCAAATATGTTCAAAAAAAAAAAAGAAAAGATTTAAGGTATAAGTTAAAAATCCCTTATTTTATTTTTGCTCCTTTTTTTTTTCATATGAGATTAAGGGTATGTTTGCCTGAGTTCAAAAGCAAAATTTTTGTCTCTATCATTTGAAAATTTATTGAATGGAAAATTTGATTATTTTTTTTTTTAATTTTAGATTGCATTGTTGAGGTGATACTCTTTTATTTCAATTTATCTTTATTATATATCGTATAATTGCAATACATAATTTTTTATTTTTATCTAAAAAAGATTACAAATTCCTATTGAATCACTTAAATCTTTGATAAAAATATTTTTGATTTTAATACTTAATGACTTATCTATAAAAAAAATTATCAAATTGTAAAAAGAACAAATTCACGCATGAAATTTGCCGAACATGTCATATGAAGTAACCTCATGACCTATGAGCCAACGTTATGCTTTAATCAGACTCCAAGTAAAAAATGAAACCATTACAATCTTTATGGCTTTTTTAGATTTTACCTCACTTTTCGATTACATACACCATTCTAAATTTCTAATTATACTTCATTTAGTATTTTTTTTTCCATTTTACAAGTTTAAAGGATTGATTTACTAAGGCAAAAAATTAAAAAAATTAAAAAATAGAAATTTACTTATAATCTATCATGCGTAAAATATTTTATTATTAATAAAAAAATATACCCTTTGATATTAAAATAATTCTTTAATTACTAATAATTATAAAATATACAATTTACATGAAACTCCATTTAACTGAGGAATTTAGAAAGAACCTGAAAATAAATACTACTCCTTAGCAAAGGCAAACTTAAATTTGATTGGCGGCTGACGTAGCTTCAACAGTACATCCACTACATGTTATATAATTCTTTCCTCAGTTCTACTTCTAACAGAACAGAGCAGTCCTCCGTTTACAGGCCGTCGTGCTCGACACCAAATCAGTGGACTCCTGAACCCAAAACCTGCAAACTCCGCCGGGATTTCCAAAAAATGTGGAGAAGCTCCGCGATTTCGAGTTTCTATTCCAAGTTCACTTCCTTCTACAATCCTAGTTATTACTACGCAACGTCTCCATCCATCTTCACCGTCGACGGCGTCGTCCGACCCGTGTTCTCTACCTCTCAACATCAGTGTATACGCTCCTTTTCGTCATCAGCAGCACCTTCTCCTTCCTCATTGACTAAGTTAGGATTTCTCAACGACGGAATTGATGCGATTCAGCCTTTGGCATCTAAGGCCCTCGAGATCGCTCGCCATTACGGTCGTTGCTATTGGGAGCTTTCGAAGGCTCGTCTCAGGTCAATTTTAGAAATTCCTTGCGTTTTTTTCTTTTATTTTTTATTTTTATTTATTTTTATTTTTGTATTGATTTCCAAGATTTTGGGATTCATTTGAGTTTGATAATGTCTGCGCAGCATGCTTGTGGTAGCAACGTCAGGGACTGGATATGTACTGGGGAGTGGAAATGGCATTGATTTTGCGGGTCTTTGTTGGACCTGTGCTGGAACCATGATGGTTGCTGCTTCAGCTAACTCCTTGAATCAGGTACTTTGTATAATTTTTATTGTTGTTATTTTCAAACAAGTTTGAAGTTTTTATGATGATATGATTGGTTCTCTATCACTTTTCATTTTCACAAATATTTTCATTGTAATTATAGCAAGGAAAGATTTTGATGCAACTTCATGCTGTAATGGAAGCAGAATTTCGTTAAAAACATGAATTTGCATGTAATCTTGCTTGATATGCGCAAGTATTAAGGCTAATGTATCAAATATATGCCTCCCTAATTGCATACTAATTTTAATAAGATCCTCTTTTATAAAAAGGCGCTTACTTTTAGCTTATTAATCTGTCATTAGGTGTTTGAGATAAAAAATGATGCAAAGATGAAGAGAACAAGGCGAAGACCACTACCTTCTGGGCGCATCACTGCCAAACATGCAGTCATCTGGGCATCTTCCGTTGGTTTAGCTGGCACTGCCATATTAGCGTTCAAGGTGGCCGTATAAATTTACTTACCTGATTTTTATGTGTTTTTTTAGTGTGTAAATATGATCTTTTGATCCGCATCTAATGTTCCATATGCTGTGAGCTGAGGTACTGATTTTGTAACTTCCACAACAAGGTTATTGCAGGCTAATATGTTGGCGGCTGGTCTTGCCACTTCCAATCTTATTCTCTATGCCTTTGCCTATACTCCATTGAAGCAGATTCACCCTGTAAATACATGGGTCGGGGCTATTGTTGGTGCTATTCCACCCCTTCTTGGGTATTTTGTCTTTAACTTAACACAGGCTTTTCTGCTGAATGTCAAATTCAATAGTATACAATTAGATTCTTCTGAAGACTTTTTATGTTGTAACTATTTTTGGCAGCCAAAATCTTAATAATTCTTAAAATAGTTAATTTTGGGGCTGAAGGACTTCTTTATTAAGTATTGTGTTGAAAGTATGTTTTAACTTGATCAAACTGTGTCTGATAATGGGGGATAACACTGAGTTTTTGTTACAATCTAATAAAGATCTTGGTAAACTAAACCTTTAAGAGATGAGTTTTTCTCAGAGAAATAGATGGAAAAAACTAGGATAGAATACTGATCATACCATTCATCTAGTTCCCTATAAACAGTCCCTTCATGGATTTACAGTGCGTCTAGTTTTTTAGCTTGATTTTGCTTTTGTTTTGCAGCTTTTGCATAAGATTGATAGTTCAAAGCAACTTCTTATTCACGTGGGCTTATTGTTTTCCATTCTAAATTTTCAGATGGGCCGCAGCTTCAGGCCAGGTTTCCCTCAATGGGATGATTCTCCCAGCAGCTCTCTACTTTTGGCAGATTCCCCATTTTATGGCCTTAGCATATTTGTGCCGCAATGATTATGCTGCAGGAGGGTATGTAGATATTCTTTGACCTGAAATAAGCATTGTTCAAACTACTTTAGCAGGGAGATATCCTGATGGTGATGCAGTTCATTTGGTATTTCACGTTTCATCCTATTTATTTTCTATGATCTGTTGCCTTTCAGGTATAGAATGTTCTCTCTAGCAGATCCTTCTGGGCAGAGAACTGCTGCAGTGGCTCTAAGGAACTGCCTCTATCTAGTCCCTTTGGGGTTCATAGCCTATGACTGTGAGTCACACTTATACTGTCACAGCATACCAATCATGAAAATTTTCAAATTGGTTTCTTCCAAACACATTTTCTTTAATTGGTTTATTACTGTTGATCAATTTTAGTCTTAAGATGTACACCTGATATATACATTTACTTTGCTTAACTTTGTTGCATCTTAGCATAGTATTTCACGCAATTGAGGACGAATACTCTACATATGCTTTGCATAAGTTCTTGTATTTGCACTCTGCTTTCATCATCTAAGCTAATGAATTCTCTCTGTAGGGGGCCTGGCGTCTGGATGGTTTTGTCTTGAATCCACATTCATTACTCTATCAATAAGTGCTACAGCATTTTCATTCTACCATGACCGGACAACTCGAACAGCCAGGAGAATGTTTTATGCTAGCCTTCTTTACCTCCCTGTATTTATGTCTGGGCTCTTATTTCATCGAATCTCTGATAGTCAGCAACTTTTTGCGAATGGTTCAAACATGGTTGATGAGCATTCACCTTCATCGGAAAATATTGTAGAAGCGGCTGAAGGTGCTGATTGGAAGAACGAGGGGGGGCAATCTACTACTGAACTACAAGCGCGGCCACCTGTAGCATATGCCTCCGCTGCACCATTTCCTTTTCTTCCAGCTCCCTCTATGCAACACCTTGATGTATTTTGAATTTCATATTTCCTTGTAAACTTTCTAATTTCACCCATTGTTGAGTGAAACAAGCAAAATTACAAGGGCATTATTATGAATAAACAAGTTGTTATGCATTTGAGCGGTCGACCAGTACTCCAGCAGCAGTATTTTAGATAATGGAAATGTACATACAATGATTTGTTCCTTAGAGCATTTATAGCATGACTTGTTATTGTTAAATGAGTAGTTATATAATATTATTGGTAAATTTTAAATAAAAAAATTAATTATATAATAATATATAAATTTATAATATTCAGTGATCTTTTAAATATATTATTTTTTTATAGATAATAATCTTCTAGATTATTTCTACAAAAGATGAAATTTCTTAATAATAAATAAATAAATAAAAATTATGATATCTTAATACTTTAAATGTTTAAATTTTTTATGAAATTATTTAAATATTTTAAATAAATTTTTTAATATATTAATTTATTAAAAATATTTTATTTTTAATCAATTTACATATTTTAATTATTAACCCATCTTAATTTTTTTTAATTCCATAAAAAAAAAAACGAAAAAACGTTCTAAAAGATGTTTTTTCTTTTTTTCTTTTTTCTTATTAATCTGTATTTTTTTTAAAAAAAAAAAAAAAGGGTAAGATAAAAAATGGTGCGTGCCCATTTCGCCGGACCTTTTATTCACCGGATGAAGGAGGGCCAAGGCAGGATTGGAGAAAGCAGATGGCGGGGAGGAGGGTGGTGGAAAATCTTCCAAAGCTGATCAGAAATCTCAGAAAGGAATCGCCTTCTACGGCCCTGCGGAAGCCAAATCAGACTCAGGCACTGCCGTACCGCAGGCGCGCTTTCTCTCTCTACGATCAGATCAATCTCATTGATAACGTTCCCGAAGACCAGCTTCGATTTCAAGGGTATTCTCGTCTTATGAATTTTTCCCTAAAGTCGCCTCCTTTCCTCCAAAGCAGCTCAATTTTCATCTGGGTTTTGTTTCCCTTCCGCTAGATATAGTGACACAGGATTCATCGTGAATGGGGTCAATTATGAAGGCAGCTTGCTCTGCGTCGGAAATTTGCTCACTTCTTGGAGCCCCACCAGGTTCTCCGAAATCACTCCTGATAGGTATTCCATCCCTTCATTATACTTTGCTGTTCTTCAGCTCTGCTATTCAATTTTGGTTTCTTGAGGTGGCTGCTTTACTTAGCTTAATCTAAAATCAAGGGACACGAATTAGTAATGTAGCTACTCTTAGATTCCTAATGATGATACTGAAAAATGAAAACATGGTAAAACTTTGTTTCTGAAGCTTCATTCTTTAGGGCAGCTTAGAAATTATGATACAGTCCTGACTTTCATCACATGTCTGTCTCACATTTCATCATCTTTTTATATTTATGTGCAGCTTATCCATCTTCCGAATTGTGCGTCCTATTCCAGGTGAGAGAGGGAAACTATATGCTAGCTGGTTCACATTATATATGCTTGTATTTTCATGAGGCTAGGTTCTCAATAGAGTTGTTTTTTTCTCAAGCAAACATGACATATAAACAAAGACTTTCAAGCTTATTTTTTATCCTGATACAGGCAATCTTTGCCAAATATAGGCAACCAATTATTGTTTAGCTGGTGGTGTTGAAGTTTGCTGAGATTTTCCTTAGAATGTAATATATGAATAATAAGCTTCTGAATTTTTTTCTTAGTTTTGGATTGTAATGGGCTCTCTTTTTGTAATTTATGCCAGAGCTTTTGATACTCAGCTGTGGAAGGAAAATTATACCAATAAGTCCTGAACTATAGCAGTTCATTCGATCTATTGGCATGAAGTTGGAAACCTTAGAGTCGGTATGATTGTTTTCATCATAGCGGTTATTGTTACTTCTAGGTTTGACCTTTTTCTCATCATGTAACATGTTTATCAGGTTTGATGATGCAAGTATCATACAACTGAATACTTCTTAGTTACAGAGTCCAGACCTCCTATTTTCTCAATCCTTGCAAAGACTACAAAATTTTACTTCTTGATGCTCCTTTTGGTTTTTGATCTTTGTATTCACTTTCAGAAATATCTTTTGCTCTATTCTCTTGGTTCATACATCCCATGAGCATCTAAAGATGCTTTTTAGTTTTGTTATGTTTTTAATGAAAAAAATTCATTTCTTACTGTTTTGTTGACAATGCTGAAAGAGAAGACATCATATTGATAACAAAGACGACATCAGGAGGAACTGTCTTGTTCAGTTGTGCTATAACTTGGGCTTCTTCTTTTGTTGCAGAGAAACGCTACTTCAACTTTCAACATACTGAATGAGGAAGGAAGAATTGTGGCTGCAGTACTTCTTCCATATAGAGTTTCCTCATGATGCCCTAGACTTCTCCTAGTTTCATCATTAGTTGACGCATCAAAACTCACCTTTGTGACTTATCCACCGGGCACTTGAAAGATGCTTAATCCCTTAATAGTGAGTAGCGACTGAATTGTAAGTACTAATTTTGTTGTTGTCCACAAACGAGGAATTGTCTCGTTGATGTGTTACGATGAGAACAGAAACATGCCCTAATAGTGGCAACATGCCATAAACATTCTTTTGTCAAATTTTCTTATCCTAGTTTCTTTCTCACAAAATGCCTATGAATAACTGGTTAATTGGTAAGAGAAATACATACATGGTACGAACAAACAATGTCAAAAATAATCATCAAATGGGGTTCTTATGGAAAAATAAAATTATTTCTAATTGTATTCCTCTTCTTAGGCTCTTAGGATTTTTGTTTTACAGTTTTAAGAATGTAAAATAACAAACTTATTGGTGAATAGGATTTGATTTTTTAATCTTGTATCAAATAAAAATTAGGGAAATGATTTTTGTATAACTTTTTTGTCTCAATTTTTTGTACAACTTGACGTGTCATTAAAATGATTGATTTTTTAAATTCATATGAGATCCGTGATATCGAATGTATTTATTTAATAACATATGAAAGTTGTATACAAAGGTTCTCCTTATAGCACTACCTATAAAATTATTAAATTAATAAGTGTCAATTTAGTTAAATTCTTATTGATGAGTATCACCTTCATTAATAATTACAACTAAACTTTTGTTATTGAATGATATTTTCTGTTAATAATTGCAAGATATATAATTTATTGTGGATGGAAGGTAAAATTATTATATTTTTTTAAAGTTATTATGAGAATTTATTGTGAAATAAGATAATTTGAGAACATTTACAAAAAAAATAATTTGGGAATAACATTCATTGTTATTGTTGGTTTTTTTTTTAATATTTACTAACGAGGTGTGTTCACAAATTTTTAACGGCGTACCTCCTACATTAACTCCCATTCTTTATTGACAAAAATTAAAATAAAATAAAAGAAAGTGGAAAAAGAAGTGCCTATTGTGAATTTTTCCTATTAGTGAATGCTACACCTTCACATTCATCATCTTCCATGTTATAACTCTTCACATAAAGGGGTAATTCCTCACCATTAAAGAGTCATTTATGATCACACTAAAGGCCATTCAAAAGATCATGAGGGTGTCATTCAAGAGTTCATTAAGGTGCCATTCATTCTCTCATTTAGTCCTATTCAATGGCTTATGTAACCTCTTATGTCCCTTAGCCCATATATAGACCTACAAATTTGTATGATTGGTACTTGAAAAAGTACATGATGAAATAAGAAACTCTTTCTTTTGCTTGTCATCTTGCTACTCAACCTCTTATTTTATAACATGTTATCAGCACGATCGTCTATACCATTCAATTTGTGGCAAGCTCTTAAGGTAATCCTTTGTTTTCTAATTTCAATTTGATTTTAATATCTAACGAATTTTTGCAATCACAATGTCAAATTTGACAAAACTTGAATTTACCGCCCTTGATATAATGGGCTCAAATTATTTGCCGTGGATACTTGATGTTGTAATCCATTTGACTGCGAATAATCTTAATAAAACAATTGTTGAGGGAAATCAAGCCTCCTTACAAGATCGCGCTAAAGCATTGATATTCCTTTGCCATCATCTCCATGAGGGATTGAAGGCTGAATATTTAACAATCAAAGATCCATTTGAATTATGGTAGAATTTGAAAGAAATATATGATCACCAAAAGTTGGTGATACTGCCAAAAACTAGTTACGAATGGATGCATCTGCGATTGCAAGATTTTAAATCTGTGATTGCAAGATTTTAAATCTATGAGTGAGTATAACTCCGCAGCATTCTGCATTTCATCTCAATTAAAATTATGTAGTGAAAAAAATTATTGATGGAGACATGTTGGAGAAAACATTCTCCACTTTTATACCTCAAATTTGCTTCTTCAGCAACAATATCGAGAGCATGGCTTTAAAAAATATTTAGATTTGACATCAGGTCTTTCTGTTGCTAAACAAAATAATGAACTTTTTATGAAAAATCATCAGTCACGGCCTACTGGTTCAGCCCCATTACCTGAGGCAAATGTAATCTCATATAATAATAATGGATGTGGTCGCAGCCGTCGCTATGGTTGTAATCGTGGCTGAGGGTATGCCCATGGTCGAAATAATACTTGGCATCACAGTGGTTTCAACCCCAAATATGAATTGGTTGAACAAAAATGATGTAAGGGGTAGAACTTTACAAAAGAACCTTGCAAAAGTGTTTAAAAATTTTTGTTATCGATATGGAGTGAAAGGACATTGGGAGTGTGCTTGTTGCACTACTAGGCATTTGGTTGATCTTTACCAAGCCTTACTTAATTAAAAGGGAAAAGGAAAAGATCCAAAAATGAATTTTATTGAGCATAATAATATGGATCTTAATACACACCTTGATGTTGTTGATTTTTTTTAGGGTATTGAAAAGCTTAATGGTGTTGATGATACTCAACCAAGAGTTTGACTTATTATGTCCTCTTAAATAATTTACCCTTAGTGGCTATTTTCCTTTTTCTATATGTAATGTCCTTTTTATATTCAATGAAAGAATAATCTTTTCAAAATATATATTGAATATTTGTTTCTTTTGTTTCATTTGTTTTTATTTAAAACCAAATGGACTTGGATGATGCTAAAATCAAAGATGGAGACCTATGTCTTATTGACAATGGCACAACACATAACATCTTGAGAAATAAGAATTATTTTTTCTCAATTAAAGTTAATTGAGGCTAATGTTCATACAACATCTAGTATGATAAAGTTGATTGAAGGCTTTAGAAAAGCTTGCATTTCATTGCTTAGAGGAACAAAATTATTAATACATCGCGCTTTATATTATAGTAGATCAAATCGAAATCTACTAAATTTTAAAGATACATGTCATAATAGTTTCCATATTGAAACTATGGATGAGAATGGAATAGAATTCCTCCATGTTACAACTTTTGCATTTGGAAAAAAGAAAATATTAGAGAAAATGTTAACATTCTCTTCTAGATTGTATTATACATATATACATCCAATAAAATCCAATGTTGTGACTAATAAGAAAATAGTCAATCCAAATGCCTTTACCTTTTGATATAATCGACTTGGTCATCTAGGTGCTATTATGATGGAAAAATTATAAAAAATTCACATGGACACTTATTAAAAAACTTAAAAGTTCTATTATCAAATGATTTTTCTTGTATTGCCTGCTCCCTGGGTAAATTAATTACCAGGCCCTTTGCAACTAAACTAGAAAATGAATCTCCTCCATTTTTGAAACGGATTCAAGGCGATATTTGTGGACCTATAAATCTGCCATCTAGACCATTTTGATAGTTTATGGTGTTGATAAATGCTTCAACAAGATGGTCGCATGTTTACTTATTATTTATATGCAATGATGTGTTTGCAAGGCTGCTTGCACAAATAATAAAATTGAGGGCACAATTTTCTAATTATACAATAAAAGGATTCAACTTAATAATGTAGGAGAATTTACATCCCAATCATTTAATAATTATTGTATGTTAATTGGGATTACTGTTGAGCATTTAGTTCCTTATATGCATACATAAAATGGTCTAACTAAATCTTTTATTAAGCATCTGTAATTAATTGTAAGACCATTACTTATAAGATCAAAGTTACCCTCTTTTGCTTGGAGTCATGCTATATTGCATGTTGCAACATTAATTCGATTAAGTCCAACTGCTTACCATAAGCATTCACCATTACAACTTGTTTCTGGGATTGAACCAAATATACC